TGAAATTCGATAAAAATAACAGAAAACTGTGACATAGTTGGTTGCGAAAAGGTTTTAAAGAACAAATTATCAATAAGAAGGATTTGATCATGATGCACTCAACCATTAGTTCTTTATGATTTAGTCTGAGTCATTTTTGTTATAGCTGCGGTAAAATACTTTGAAATATAACAACTTTCCTAAATGGAACTCTCGACGAAGAAATACATAGAACATCCTAAAGGTATCGACATTGAAGTTGACAATTTTGGTGCGTCATTTCGAGAAGAGGTCCATGTGCATGGAACCAGTTTATTTTTCCAGTGATATGGAAAAAGCGTTTTCAGAAAGTTGTAGCCATATCCACAACTGAAGCTGCATATGAATAACCGCTAACCGCTTACTACAAAGGAAGTAGTGAGATGGAGAATATTTCTGAAGGATATTGAAGAAGAACTAATTCAATTCATCATTCAATAATCAGAATGCACTATAATTATTCAAAATCAAAAAATAAATTGCATAACTAAACATAAAGGTGTGAAACTGCACTTCTGTTTTTGAAAAAAATCTGTATTTCCGTTAAACAGCTGTCGCACCCAACGAACGACAACCCTCAGAAGTCAAAACTTGTGCGAGCTAAGGATTAATGAAGTCTTACCTTTACATGTGTGATTGGACAGATTGGACGATAGCAAGTAAAAATCGATCGTTCACACTGAAGCTTGAACCACCGACCACATGGCAGTTAATTCGAGTGAGTGAACAAAGCACCCACGTCCAACTACTTGGCTACCGACCGACAATCAGTGAAATCTCCGAGAACAAGATAATTGCAATAGAATATATTCTAACTGGTGACTTTCGTGAGCTCTTGTAGCTTGTAGAAGGACCTGTATATAAGAATGTCTCTATCTGCTCTGGTATTGTTGTGTAAACATTCAGCGTTCGAAGGAGCAATCTGAATCACGAGACTACCGAAATAAATGAAACGAAGGATACTTTTCTTCAATACCAGCACAGTAGTGAGGGTCAATTTCCTCTTCGTTGTTCAAAACGAAGACGATGCCTAGTATGAAGTGAAGTAACCTATGTAATAAAAAGAGAAGTGAAAATTTCTATTTTTTTACCACTTTTATTTGTAACTAACGTTACTGCAGTTTCGTCAAACGTATACAATAAACTCCTTCCTCTTTTCATTATGATCTCCTACCACGTAGTAACGGCTTCATCCATTAATTTATTGAAAGAAGCAAGTAGAGCTAGACAAGCCACATACTACTTTAAACTAAAAAACATAGAAATTTTCATTTCTTTTTTTATTATGATCTCCTACCACGTAGTAACGGCTATATCCATCAAGTAACCTATGTATGTCCAATAGTAGTATCGCTTGTGTAGGCAATTATATGAATGATACTTTTCTCTTATGCATATTCGTGAATTCTTTACCTGTTCAATGCCATTTTGAGAATTTGTTTCAACTCTTATTAATTAAGACCTCTACTGTAGAACACTAACATTTAGTCATCACCATAGGCTTTGGGTTGATAAAAATACTATCAACAATACCGTAATCATTACATAAATCAATAACTTCGTTAAGTTTGCCACAATATTCAATCGTCGAAGCGATTTTTCTCCTGGTCACATCAGTGACCATTGGGCTTGAGTTATACAATTTCTGGGACTCATTCGGGATTCGTATTGGCAAAAATCAAAGAAATACAGCCTTAGTAACTGTTGACAATTTCTACTGGAAGCCAATTTCTTGTAACTCTATAAGAGGTAATTGTGAATTGAACCTGTGATAATCTGCAGATCCATTTTTCAATTATCTAGTATGGAATTTAAATACACAAAAAGTGAATGCATTAGATTCTATGATCATTGTCAATCAATATGATCAATATACTTCATATATTTATGATTGTTGTCAGTGTTGTGATAAACCATATTCTATAATCTTTCAATGGTTCTACCAACAGCTCGTATTCGATAAACTGTTTTTTTTATTACCTAATAACTCTTGTAATCAGTACATAGTGATAATCAAATTGCCGACATATTCAGCAAACCATTGACTCCAGGAAAGTTTCTAGGCAATGTTCGAGATTTGGAATCAACTTCGTTCAACAGCAAGTTACTGTGTTGAGAATGTTTATCTTGTTTAGTAGTGAGTGTCGTTAATAGTTTTCTCAAACATTTGTCGTTTGTATTTTATATTGATGAAATGGTTTTTCCGTAATTTTTCTATTTCAAAACTTTTGATACTTTTACAGAAAAAAAATATTTGACAGATAATGCAAATCATGTGACTACCACTTTTTCAATGCAGAATTTATCGCCAAAGTTTTGGACGAAGATATCAATAAAAATTCCCTTTTGTTTAATTTTCTGGTTACACTGTATGTCTTTCATCCACGCTAGTGTCAAACAATTTCATTTTTCTACAGAACAACTTTGTTGTATTTTCATGAGCAACAGAAATGATCTTCAAGCCTGTATTATCTCTTCAATTCATAATCGCTATCTTTAGTGTTCAGAATATACAAGGTGTAACATAAGTACAATGAAATATTCAAGTGACGTATTTCTGAGACATTACATTTTGAGAAAAGAAGTCTATATGAACTTGTGTCCGAAAATGCTTCGTTTCGGAGATACGTGGTGTTGAAATTGAATTTTTTTGTTCACTTTCTGAAAATAAATCTTGCAAAAAATAAGTTATTTGCACGAAATTCGGAACCCGGGGTTTTTTTGACGTGGGAAATCATAATTTCATATTAATTTTCATGTAACATCATGTTACATGCCCTAAATTTTTTGACAGTAAACTTTTGGCACTTTTCATGAAAAAACCTAATTCCCACACCTTTTTCAAGTAACAAAGGTACACCTCCTCAACAACGCTGGAGGTGATCGTTTTTGAGATATTTACAATTTTCTATATTGATGCATATTACTTATCTCCTAGGGCGCTAAGTGAAGTTGCAGAGAACATTACAAAAACTGAGTATGTGGTAGATCTCGTCAAAATAAACATCTTTTTCCTATAGAATGTTTAACGAAGAATGATTCGTTTTCGAAATATAGATTGTTGAAATTTTTCAAAACACGGTAGGTTTTTGTCATAAGTGTTTTGCTATTTTAGTTATTTTCATCAAACTTTATACGCAGTATACCCGTACAGACCTCTTCTAAACTGAGCATTATCGAACTGCTTATTCAATCCAAATAAAAAAAATCAGGTTTAATTATTCAATTAGAAAGTGCTACATTTCGGAGTTTGTAAAAAAAACAATTCGGAGAAGTACTATGTTATTTATTAGGAAAATAAACATATAAAAATTGAACGAAACAACTATTACAACAACTGTTCAAAGTGATCATCTCCAACAGTAATACAAGCTTCTGCTCTCCTCATTAAAGAATTCCGCACCCGTTGAAAAATGCCTGGAGTGTTTTTTATCGTTTCGCAGCAAGCTATGATGGGATCCCCCAACATCTCCTCGTTTTCAATGAACTAGTGATTTTAGGTGTCCCCAAAAGAAAAAATCGACAGGATTGACATCCGGTGACCTCGGGGGCCAATGCTCAGTGCCTCCTCTTCCTATCCATCGTTGGGAATATGCTACGTCTAAAAAATTTCTTGCTATCACACTAAAATGAGCAGGAGCTCCATTGTGCATAAACCAAGAGTGATTTCGGAGACCAATGGGAACATCTTCCATAAGTTGGGGAAGCTCGTGTTCCAAAAAATGTAGGTAAGCATCTCCATTCAAACGTTAGGGGAGAAAATAGGGCCCAGTTAAACAATCCCCAATTATGCCCACCCATACATTAAAAGAGAATATGTCTTGGAAAACAGTTTGCGTTATCGCATATGGGTTATCTTCCGCCCAGAAGTGGTTGTTATGGAAGTTCATGATACCATTTCTTGAAAAATTAACCTCATCTGTGAACAGGATTTTCGATAAGATTTGCGGATGTTGTTCGACTTTTCTTTAAAGCCATTGAGCAAATGCGATACATGATTGGAAATCACGTAGCGTAAGTGCCTGGACACGCTGACTATGATAAGGATATAATTGCTGTTCCTTTAAAATTCTGTAAACTATCATGTGACTCACATTTAAAGTTTGACTGATTTTTCTTGTACTTGTCTCTGGATGTTCACTAATTTCTTCGAGAACCGCCTCCTCTAATCTTACAGTTCTTGTAGTCCGTGGCCGTCCGTTTCAAAGCTTCCAGGTTCGAAAAGTCGCCGGAAAAGATTTGCAAATGTCGCTGCACAAGGAGTCACGCGTTGGGGATACCTTTTCTGAAAGATGCGTCTGGCCTCGCCTGAATTTCCGTCAGTCAAGCCGTATGCAAAAACCATATCAGCCATTTCAGCATTCGTAAAGTAAGGCATGGTACCAAAAAATCACTTTATAAACTAGTTAAAAATGTGACAGCAAACTTCCATTTTTATAAACAAACTTTCATAGCCTACTCGATTAAATTAACTTAATTTGCAAGCGGAGAGTGACAAAAATGATTGAAATCAAATTTGGCTATAAAGTAATATGCATCGATATATAAAATTGTAAATATTTCGAAAAAGATCACCTCCAGCGTTGTTGAGGAGGTGTACCTTTTTTACTTGGATAAGGTGTGGAAATTAGGTTTTTTCATGAAAAGTACCAAAAGTTTACTGTAAAAAAAGTTGGGGCAATTTGAAATAAATAGTGCGCCCTGTAAATATTACATGAAAATTAATACGAAATTATGATTTCCCACGTCAAAAAACCCCGTGTACCGAATTTCGTGCAAATAACTAATTTTTTGCAAGAGTTGTTTTCAAAAAGCGAACAAAAAAATTCAATTTCAACACCCCGTATCTCCGAAACGAAGCATTTTCGGACACAAGTTCATATAGACTTTTTTTCTTAAAATTGTCTCAGGAAGACGCCACTGAAATATTTTAACGTACTTATGTTACACCCTGTATGTATTCATATACATATCTGGTTTACCACAAAATGTTCCTCTCATGGCAGTTATGGTGGTAGATTTCGAACACGCTGCCTTGTGTAATTCGCAGTGGTTTGGGTAAATGACACCGTCCGATCCACAGACTGTCCTTCGGTGGGGAGGACATTCCCTTTGACAGATGCATTTCGCTTCTCCATTCTGCACAACGCATTCTCTTCCTTTAGTACAATATTGGACTAAGCAGGGATCTGGAAAGAATAACATTTTTGAAAACGATTTATTGAGAAGAAACTTCATGTAGATAATTAGAAACATTCACTTTATATGCACCTGCTAACAAACTAGCAGTCCTCCATCCAGTCAATTATCGCACTGCCTTCTCCATTAACAGAATTATTTGTGACAAAAACGTTCTCAATCAAAAGTTTGCTTCAATAAACACATTTAGAAAAAAATCAATACGATTGTGGTCTGACTCTTCTGGACCTGTACTTTAAGGAGGTTGCGTTAATGGCCATGTTACGATTGCGCACGGCCCGATGTAGGAATGGGTCGAATAAGGCTGAGCCTATGGCGAGAAGCGCTTAATGAACAACCTCTTCTGCAGGCAACCAGTGATGCAATTGAACTTACAAAATACAAATAAAACAGAACACAGAGTCAGATGCTACAAATACAATACGCATATATATACAGAAGGCTCAAAAATCAAAGAAGGCTCAGAATATGGAGCGTACTTCAGATCACTAAGTCTAAGGATTAAATGAGGAATAGGAAAAAATACCAGCGTGGTTCAAATAGAAATGGCTGGTATCTCAATCGCCACAAAAGAAATAACTAGGAAAAGAATTTCTGGCAAAAACATAATAATCTGCACTGATAGCAGATAAGCCCATTAGTCTTGAACAGACAACGTGTTACCTTAGGGCTAGTACTAGAGTGCCACCAAGATTTACCCTAAGCCTCAGTAAATAATAACATTATCCTAAGGTGGATTGAAGGGCAAGACAGTAGTAAAGGTAATCGCATTGCCGACCCTTCAGCCAAGGAAGCGGCTGGACTAAGAATTTTAGGACCCAGTGGCACCTACGGCCTGATAATTTTGACAACTGCGGAACTAGTCAAACATCATACCCATACTCAATGCCTAAAGAGAAAGGAAATAATAATCTTTCTTCATTTCAGAAATAGGTTTCCCTAATATACAATAAAAAAAATAGGAAATGATAGAACAGAAAAAGTAACTAATATATGCTATTCAGTAATTTTAAAACTATTACAAGTAACAATAAATAGTTATATCGCTCCGTGCTATTATTTTACAAATAATATTCATTATTTCTACTTATTAATGCTAGTTATATAGGTAACATTAGAAGATTTATACCGAAACAATTCAAATATTTCACGATCAAAACTAATATTTAAAACATAGATTTACAACTTTATCCAAAGGTAAGTTATGTTTCTTTTATATATTTTAACAAATGTCTTTTGAAGACATTTATTGATAAACAGTCTTTTACGTCAGTTGGTAGGTCATTAAATTTAATGAAGCCTTTAAAAAATACTGAATTCATACTACTTTTAAAATTTGTTCTGACAATATGTAGATTGCAGTTATTGCGAGCATAGTGTTCATGGATTTCATAATTGTAGTTGACCATATTCATGAAATAAGAAGGAGACAAATTATTTATTATCTTATAAATAAATATCATTGCGAAGTACAGTAACCTCTGTAATACGGGCAGCCACTGAAGGGTGGATAACATTGAATTTATTGGTGTGTATCTTTTACATCTCAGAATAATTCTCATGCCTCTATTTTGCAATTTCTGCAGTTGATTAATTTTATTTAAGTTCATAGAGTATATGATTGATGCACAATAGTCAAAATGAGGCAGAATAATTGCTTTATAAACTGTTATTTTAGTGGCTGTTGATCAATTATACTAGCAATTTTTTTGAAATTTTTTTATGAACATAGTCGAAATGGCTATCAAAAGAAAGTGTATTGTCGAGTTGGACTCCTAAGTATTTTATATTTGTGACGATCTCAATTTTCTTGTTATCAATATTTATGTCTAAATTATTTATCCCAATTTTCTTGTATTTAAATTTATTAGTAATTATCATGGCTTTGGTTTAAGTTACATTTAATTTCAATTTATTGATATCGAGATATCTTTTAACACTGACTAAGATGGAATTCATTTTGTGAATAGCTCTATCCAAGTCTGTATCACTACATGCTAATAATGTATCATCTGCGAACAGATTTATGAATTCACAGTCCACAAATAAGTTAATATCATTAAGATATATTATGAAAAGCAGTGGACCTAAAACACTACCTTGAGGAACACCCTTGTCATTTGTGATTTCATTTGAAAATGTATTGTTAATTCTTACCCTCTGCTTTCTATTAGACAAATAATCATAAAATCAATTGAAGGTCTGACCGCCTATACCATATCTCTTGAGCTTAGCAAGAAGAATATTTCTATCAATTGTCTCAAAAGCCCTTTTCAAATCGAGAAACACAGAAACAACATATTTGTTGTGCTCTAGTTCATTATTAAATTTACTTAATGACAACTGGAGTGCTGACTCACAGGAATGGTTTTTTCGAAACCCTGACTGTCTTTCGAATGAGATTTGATTGTCATTGATGAATTCCAACAATTGGTTATAAACAGTAATTTCTAAAATTTTTTCTAAGGCTGGTAGTGTATTAATAGGTCTGAATTCATCAGCTTTTATAGTATTACTGATTTTTTGGATTGGAATAATAGCACTGGTTTTAAGTCCCTGTGGAATTTTTCCCGTTCGTAAAGAAGTATTAATAAAATTAAGTATAGCATGACCAGCCGTTTCAAATATTTTTTTGAGTATTTTACAACTTAGTATTTCATGGGATGAAATGGAAGAATGCAATCTTGCCAGGAGCACCCTGGGCGACTCTGGGAAGCTGGTGCCGAAGAAATTACTGGCGATGACCAGGAAAAACCTACGCTTAACAGTAGGATTTCTGACTGGCCACTGTCAACTAAGGAAACACCTCCACAATATGGAGCAAGTGGACACATCTCTATGCACGATGGGTGAACAAAAAGATGAAACTATCAGGCATGTCCTATGCGAATGTCCAGAGTCATCATCTATAAGAGAGCGTGTGTTCGGCGAGTGTTGGCCTACACCTGCCGATATAAAGAAGATGTCTCCCAGATACCTGTCCACCTTCCTGGAAAGGATAGGATGGACGATGACCTAGGAGGACAACTCCTTGGGAGGATGAATAATGGGTCATGTGGTCCAAGTGCTGTGGGCCTACACTCACTCTCCCTATTCTACAGATACAGATGCACCATATTTAATTTATGCAAAAAATATGAAATTATCACATGTACTCCAAGACCAGTCTTCGATTTATCAATGTCCCGAGTATATGAATATTGATCTTCTCGTTTTATTGACATATGATGGGTCCAGGAAAAAATGTTCATGTAGAGTGCCTGCAACGCTGATGTTGGTGCGATTTTCATTGAGCCATTTATTCCCAAACAACCTTGTCTTGTATTCGCGAAATAAATCCGTGTAATGAAGTGTGAAAAGTGAGCAAAATTGAAGATATTCTGGTGCTTTTGAAGCAATGATTACTTTTAAAGCACATACTGCGTGGTTCAACATTTGATTTTTGATATTGGTATTTTATGTATTTTACTGTCATATATTTCGTCGTATCGACTAAATGTTTTTAATTTCCGATTTGGTTTGACTCAAAACAAGTGATTCAGTTATTGGATATTAACGGTATTTGTTTGCATTTATGTGTACTCATTATACTTGTAATTCTGCAAATGAATATCCTCATCATAAAATGTTAATTTAGACCATCACAAAATCTACTCGTATCTATTGGAATATGATAAAATTATCAAAAAATCTGCTGACATTCAGAATTATTTCATTCGATACTATCAGTTGAATTGTGATAGTATCAAATAATGTTTTTTGTTTTTTTGCCACCTGGCACCTGGTAAAGAGTTTTTGATAATTACGGACTCTCTCAACTCCCTTATTTTTTTGTCGAAAATATATAACCATCACGTACTGGTAAATATGATTGAAGAGGAGATGAATCAACTAGATAACAGGAAAGTAACCCTCCTATGGGTTCCTTCACATACTGGGATTTCTGCAAACGATATAGCCGATAAAGTTGCCAGAGAAGCTGTAGAATATCCAGCATGTAATCTCAGTATGAAAGCATTGCCGATGGATCTCAAATCCTATTTCCATTGCAAAATTGTAGAAATGTGGAATCACCACTGGTCTCAAAAACCTTCCAAACTGAAGGAAATCAAGGCGACATTATATCCTTGGAACAACAAAGCAACAAACCGCTTCCATCAAGTCATAATTACCAGATAACGACTGGGCCACACTCGCCTTACGCATGAACATGTTTCGCATGCATGAACATGTTTCGCGTGTGAAGTGTTTGTGACTGTTAAGCATGTTCTGGTAGAGTGCCCACTGTTCACAGTTGAGAGACTGAACAATAAAATTCCCTCCAAACTAAGTGAAATTTTCCAAAATAGCAATACCAACAATATTGTTGAATTTCTTAAAGAATGTAACCTTTCATTTAAACTGTAATGTAAACAACTGCATGTTTCAGATATATTTTATATGTTTGCCGCTAATAGCTACGGCTGATGCAGTTTTTACTAAATACAAAAAAAATTAGGATACATCGAAAAATTAAAGAAATCTAGTGATTTGAGAACGAAGTTAGCAATGGTCCTTAATCTGTCAAACAACGATATTCAAATGTTACACATAATTAATATGTTCATATTGAAATTCATTGAAGTATTTTCCAGCTTTCTGTCTATTAAAAAAAATATTTTCATAATAGGGAGTATTTGAATACTGTTTCCTCTATCCTGGATCCTGTATTGGATTAAGTAGAATGTCGAAACAGCTTATCACGGGCATACTTCTAACGATGATAAGACAATGTAAATTAATTGTGCTATATTCATCATAGTGAGATACTTACTTGTTTCTAGTAAGGTGATATGTGTTGTTTCTGGAAAATCTGTTGTGGAGGAGTCCCTATGGTGTCTAGACCTCTGAAACAATAGAAACAAACCTATATATTTTCGAAAACTTGTTTATATAATAAAGAAAATTTGATTTTGAATATTGAGAAGTAGTAATTTTTCATGGGTTCAAAATTTCAAAAGTGATTCTAACATTTTCTAAAACTATGGTCTGGAACAATTCTTCAAATCTCTAAGTATGAACATCACCATAGAAAAAATACTCAATACATCACTTCAAAGAACCTTCAATACAGAGCTTAGACTAATCCATCTCTCTATTTTGTTATTCATTTTCCGTTTATGCAAATATCTATTTTGTCTTCGAAATAAGCAATTGAAAAAAAATTGTCTAATTCCTATTATTAAGACGAATATCCATCGAGTGTAAATTGGAGCTGAAAATTACTTTGAACATAATTTATTCGTAGGTACGGTAGGGAATAGTAAATAATAATAAAAAACCAATATTGTTGAAACCAAACAAGAGATACATCGCTATATTTCAATTCTCCTGTCTGTACCCTAGCTGAATACACTCACATCCCATCAAATCGTAGTATGTATTTAGGTGCGTACCGTATATCACAATGTTTATGTTTATTAATTGTTATTATTTGGAGTACATATCAGTTAATTGCACAAAATATCCGGATGTGATAGACGATTATTGTAAAAAATATTGAATAAGAGTTGTGTTTTTGACACAAAGTAAAGAATGCAGATGATGCTTTGAAAATGATGCCAAGAGATGATTGACAAGCTGAAAAACTTCCTTAACATCATTTACGAAATAGACTGTACAAAATATTTGACAAAATAATTTGATAGAGTACAGTAAGTTGTCCTAACATACGTCTTGGTGTGGGGCTCACCCCCACATCGGGTTCAGATACGTAGATGACATTTTTGTCATATGGCCCCACGACTCTGAAACTCTCCATAATTTCCTTCATCACCTCAACGACCTCCACCCAAATATAAAATTCACAATGGAAATTGAAACCAATAACTCCCTTTCATTCCTAGATGTCCTCATTACAAATTTCAATAATTCCTTCACATACATGGTCTACAGGAAACCAACACACACAGATACCTCAACGCAAACTCCCACCATTATCTAGCACAAACAAACTCCGTCTTGAATTCTCTCATCCATAGATCTATCAACCTCACAGACTACCACAATAAACCACAAGAGCTATCTTAACTCAAATCAGCTCTCCTTTAGAATGGATTCACAGATCATCAAATTGGCAAACCCATCCGTCGTCAACAAACTTCTTCGGCCAGTCCCAAAGATCCAAAAGAAAATAACGTTCCCCACAAAGCGTTCCTTTCCTACATTAAAGGTTTAATTGACGAAATTGACCAAATTAGCTTTGAAGGAAATGCATCTTAATGCTCACGTTGTACCCCAGTTGCTGAAAGTATAATAGTAACTGTTTGACGTGGTCAGGAAAGTCGACGGACTTCTTATTTCCCAAAAATTTTTTTATGAGCCAAACATACTCATTCCAAGCATTATTTCAACGGTTGTCATACTTTCAGTAAAATTCACATCGTTTATCAATTTTCTAATTTGTGGTCCATCCAAAATTTCAGCATTTACCTTCTCAGCACTCGATTTCGGACAAGATCAAAAATTTCAGTATTTACCTTCTCAGCACTCGATTTCGGACACGATCTGGATATATACTGAAAACATTACCCCTCTTTGTATAGAGCCTTTACGTACTATTTCATCAATACTAGTTTGATGTGTAGAGGAGGTAATTCCGTTTATTACATTAAAATTGCCTTGTTATAATTCTTGTCTAAGCGGCCAATCTTTGCTGGTCCAATATTCAGTTTTAGCTCTGCTGTCTCACAAACAAATAAAATAACCATATTTAAGTCCACGCATATGAGCCAGTTGTGTTCTGTGTATTTAATTTTGTCTAAAACCAGGAATATTGTGGAATATTCGTCTTTAGCATTGGTTGAATGAGTAATAAGTAAAGAACCAAGTTTATTGCCTTTATATAAAAGTTCACATTTAAGACTGCGTTTTGACGAGTCTATAAACAAACGCTAATCATAAGGTCGTATCTTTTTAATTCCATTTCAGTCACTCATCTCGGAATATTATTACAAAAAAAAATCATCCTAAATAGAAAACAAAGGGAGTGATTTCTTTTCTCAGGTACGGTAAAATGAGATATTCTTTTCTTTGGTGACCAAATTTCTTTGTTCAATCCAGAAGCTAAAAGTTCTTATGAAGCTTCAGATAATCCGAGATCTCTAGTTAAATTATTTAGATTCTCTGGTTTGAATGGTCTTGATCTTTCGACGTCTTCAAATTCGCTAACACTATCTTCGCAGCTTGTGTCACTTTACTCCATTCGATGAACAATTTCGTGCGGACGTACCTGAGATGTAAGTGATTGGGGTTTTAATGTATCAGTTGAACGCAGGACAGGTCTAGTAACTGACGGCACAGTAGGATAAACTCACTTGGAATGATTTTGGCAGTTAATTTCTGTTATGTTCACGAAACAGAAATAACAGTAGTAGTGGTGGTTCGACGGTTCACGCCAAATCATAGGACTGATGAGTTTCAAGGAATGTCTCTTGCTTTATTTTCATAATCGCAAAGACTCCACACACGTTTAATACACTATATTCGTATCCAGGGCCTATTGTTTGTTTCCAATGCCCGTTGAAAGCACTCCATGTAGGCATTTTTCACGAAGTCTGATACATTTAAACAGAATACTTGAATGTATATTTTTCACAAAATATGACAAAATATATTTGGATTGTTCTAGACGAAGCCTTTGCAAAAAAGAACCAGAAACTAGTAAGACGTTCACGATAGCGATATCAACAGCCATGTAGATAGTACATTTCAAGGGTGTAGATGTATCTCCTAAACTAGAGCTGCTAGAAGAAATCTGGGAGTTGATTTGAAATGAGCGAGCCTAAATTAGTCAACAACAGGTGAAGAATCTCATACCACAAAAAAAAGTCTTATATTCATAAGACATTATTGCGTTTGTCGTAGGTAGGTCGAATATGTCGAAACTGGTGGAAGTCAGGCAAATCATTTCTGGGAAATGATCAAATAACTGTTGCAAATGTTGTTCCAACTTCAAAAGATTTTATTTGGATTCATTTAAATCATTTTCAAATCTCGTAGAAGTTACACCGGCTGTTGACAATAACTTTTTTATCACTGAATAAAATTTATGGTGGAAAATTATAATTATTATCATTTTCATCAAGTAACGGGTCACAGTATTCTTAATAACTTTTTTATTTTAACTAGAGAATTCTGTTGATTAATTTTTCAATTCTTCATTCGATATTTCAAGATTACATACATGGTGTTCAAAAAGGACTATTCATTATATTCAACTGAAAAGAGACCCATAATTCATTCAAACGAAAAAAAATTATTTGAATTGATCCTTCGATATAATCTGAGAATAATTTGTATATATTTTGTATTTACTTATTGAAAAAAAATTCTTCAATGAACAATTCTATAGAATATGGATAAATTGAATTATAAATATACTCCAACGTGTCAAATATTTGCTGAAAGTTTACCCTGTTCATCTATCAGTGAAAACTGAAATTCCTGATTATTGACGATATACTAGAAAATGAGAATGAGTTCATCTTTCGTACGGCAACATTCCGAGGAGATGACGGATGGCGAAGTACCAGAAATTGGTGTATTACTTTTTTACAAAGCATCATGATTTGTGATGCACTCTCTGGAACCTTTGGTTTAGTAATGAATATTACTGGAGTTTTTTCCCAACACCAAACCGTTATTTTAACACCTCGACGCGTGTCACATGTCACTGTCGGTTTGAGCTTTCCAATTGTATTATTCGTTAAATCAATCATTTCGCCTAAAAGTTCACATGCTTTCCTTTCCAGACTTAAACTCTTACCTCCCGTAACAACCCCGTATATACAGGTGCAAACGGAATAGTGTGCCGTCCGCCTGAATCTACTCACACCCCAATCTAATTAGTCCTGATGAATTTTCGCACTAAAAGCTTCGTAGCGCTTTCGTGTTCTCGGTCGAATTTTTTCTCACTTTGATGTTCCATTGATCGACAAGGTTGGGTTGAAGGGGAAATTGCCTGAATTATCGGATGGTTTTTTACCAATTAAGTTGGAGGTTGGTGTGTTCATTTGTGCGTTTCGAACGTGGAACGATTTCGTGTTAACAAATCTCCACTAATAGGTAGGCGTTTCAATGCACATTTCACTGAAATCATCGACCTTGAGAAAACTTCACAGGTTTTATATCGAACGAGATTTTGACTTTTGGAAATTTGTTTTATTTTGATACCATTTTTATTGACTGCTAGAAACAGTGTATTGTAAATAACCTATCTCAATCCCTCATAACTACGCTGAAGGGTCAGATCTTTGATTATTCAAATCTTACGAACCACAGCTGATTTTATCCATGAAAATTTGAAGTCAGTTCTGGACCAAAAAAAGTTTCAACCAAAATGATTCAACTGGGAAAACACCGAGTACATCAGAATATCAAAGTTTTATATTTTGAAAAAGTGCCCAAAAATCAAGTATATGTATTTGTTACTGCCGCATGAAATTTTATCATCCTTTAATTTGATAATAGGGTGTGAAAAATTTTCGAAAAAGTGTTTTACTTTCTAATTATTGAATTTTCGAGTTCAACGTAATCGATTTAATTACCGATCATTTCATTATCATCTCAATTTGTGAGTCATAACCTCGAAACAATATTCAGGAGGAAATGCAAATTTTAATTTCTAACTTAGGAACATACAAATAAGTATGTATAAAGGAATTATGATGATAATTTAGAAGTTTGATATGTAAATATCCACCAACATGAAAGTCAACTGAGTAGGAATCGAGCGATCTTACAGGCCAGCTATGAGGTCCGTTCCTGCCTCTTTAGTATTGCCCTTTCATTGCATTGATGCAACTAATTTTCCTTTATTTTGAGCATTTCAATATAAAATTCTACAAAAAGGATTTGAAGCTTTATATCTTCTATTAATTATCTAGGCTAGGCACCCGCAAAGCAGTTTGAGGGTGCCTAGAAGATGACAGTACTACCAACTGTCGAAAGCGCTCGCAGATAATTAATAGAAGTTATAAAGCTTCAAATCCTTTTTGTAGAAAATATCATTCACATGAGTTCTACTTTGAATGAATGGTGTGAATGTTCCATGTGAGTACAATTTATCACCATTTATCACCAAAATATCTATACTTTCTTTCAAGACTAACGTTTATAGTAACAACACACTTATGTACATCTTCACTACTAAAGTACAGTAGGGTATCGTCGGCAAATAAGTGAATTCCACATTCTACTGCTATGGTTACAATGCCATTTGAATATTTGAGAAATAACAATGATCCCAAAAATGGACCCTTGGGGTACACCTATTTTGTTTTGCATTTTATCCGAATAAACTTCCTCTATTTTCAACCTTTGCTGTTTATTGCTCAGATAATTCATGATCCACTTCAGTGCTATTCCATCAATACCTACGCTTTCAATCTTTCTAATCAGTCTGCATCTATCTGTAGTTTGAAATGCCCTTTGAAGATCAAGAAATACTGCAATAGTATACTGATCCATTTCTGCACCTTCCAATCTGTTAAAACACATTGTAACGCAGTTTCACAACTATGTTTGCTCCGAAAACCCGAATGATACTCACAAAGTTACTCTTCAAATAGTCCACTATCTGTTCATATACAACCCTTTCCAATACTTTAGCTATAGCATTAATCATGTTTATTGGCCTCAATTGAATAGCTTGGTTTGTATTTGGTCCTTTTGGTATAAGTATAATAGTAGATAATGACGTGACACCTAATCATATTGAAAATACATTCCTACAAACTGTTGAAGTTTATTTGGGCTTCT